CTGGGTTAAAGTATGACATCAGCCACAGGTGTGACCTTTGACTGCTTTCGCAGAATTATAGTAGTGAAGAGATCCTAGAAATCATTAAATCTCTCACTTAGGACAGAAAAACTTCAATTTCTTATTTGTACGTTCATTTTTACTTCTGATTCAATGGGTGAAATTGATAAACCTCCTTCAGTTTTAGTTTGTTGTGGCAGTTACCTAATAAAGTAGATAAGATCTTACCTGAGCTTCTTGTTCAAATATTCAGATGGATATTATATACATTTCTCCACCTAAGCACTAGATGGAGAGTCAACAGAAACTTCCCACCTCATAATTTGTGATTTCAGTTCTGTGTGGCTGTCGGGAATTAAGGTGTAAAGCGCAGGATCTAAAACTTGTGAGAACACTAATTATTTTGTTCTATTCTATCTATGAATGTATATTTATTCCAGCAACTTTAAGGTGAAGTATGCTGCATTTCAGGCAATATTTTGTCTAGCACTAAATAAATCCAGTTGCTGCAAAGTGAGCTTTGAACTCCAGTATTTGAATCCCTTGAAACTGGGAGACAGTGATTATATTCAGCACCTATTCTTAGATCTTGAATATGATGCTTTGGGGGGATGGTATCAGGACTTTTAACATCAGTGTCTTGTGTCTTCAACCAGCCATTTCTTAGAAAGCACTGGGAAACCCAAGTTCTATATAGTGCATTCATACTTCCTATTTGGCAGTTTAAGGTTGCCAGCAAACTACTGAATAAGAGTGTCATAATTTCCCATTGATTTCCAGATAGAAGCTAATGTTGCTTTAAGTCTTTGTTATGAGGGCAAGTATGTTTAAAATCCCAATGTTTATCCTTCTGGTGACATTATAGTGGTGGCACAGTGGTTAAAATGCAGTATTGAAGGCTAATTCTGCTGACTGCCAAATGAGTGTTACCTGCTCAAGACTGACTCAGCCTTCCATCCTTCTGAGGTCGGTACTAAGGACCCAGATTGTTGGGACAATATGCTGACTCTGTAAACCACTTAGAGAGGGCTGTAAAGCACTATGAAGCGGTATATAAGTCTAAGTGTTATTGCTATTACAGGTAGTCCTTGACTTACAATAATTCATTTAGTGACCATTCAAAGTTACAATGGCACTGAAAAAAGTGACATGACCTTTATTCACATTTACAACCATTGCAGAATCCCCATGGTCACATGATCAAAATTCAGATGCTTGGCAACTGGTTCATATTTATGACAGTTGCAGCATCCTGGGGTCATGTGATCAGCTTTTGTGACCTTCTGACACGCAAAGCCAATGGGGAAGCCAGATTCACTTAACAACCGGGTTACTAACTTTATAACTGCAGAGATTCAGTTAACAACTGTGGCAAGAAAAGTTGTAAAATGTTTCACTTAGCAACAGAGATTTTGTGTTCAATTATGGTCATAACTCGAGGACTACCTGTATTACTTATCCTTTCCTCATTATGGGCTTTGGAAACTTTTTTTAAAAAAATTCTAATTCCAGCTACTAGAGCTGATCTTCAAGTTCTCAACTGACTTTCCAAGCCAGTGAAATGGCATCAGACTCTATAAAACCCTTACTTCTTGGCTAACCAGAACAACAACTTATTGCATGAAATAACAATGTTCCTTGTTTGCCCCATTTTGCTTGTTTATCTTTGCCTCATTATATAAATAAAAGCAAACCAGTCCAATCAGCGCCTCTCCTTCATTAGTCAGAGAAGTGCCATCCGTGTTTGAAAAGGAAGTGTCCACAAGTTTGGGGAAAATCCAGGATTGGCTGAAGTATAAATGCATGTTCAGAACATTCTGAATAGAATTTTGCTGTGCTATATTTAAACCAAGTCTTTTAAAAACAGGGTAAAAGTTTTGAACATTGGTTAATAAAGTTTCCTATTTTAGAACAAATTGTATTAATAGTAAAATAAATCAAAGAAATCTCAAATGGCATTATAATCTCTGTCATAAACCAATTACACTGATCACTCTTTCTGCTGAAAAACCTCTTCCCCTGCCTGAGCTATTTCCAGCAAACCAACTTTCAATAGTGCAGTTATCCCCAATTTCCCTGGCACCATTTTTTCTATACATCTTTTAAATTGCAAACTTATGTCACTTATCTGCTGCCTTCTTTTACAAGTGAAAATGAAAATGCTGGGGAAAAATGAGCAAAAACACATAAGTAACTCCAAAGATACAATATGAAAACTATTTTAAAGCTGCAAATGGTAATTTTTAAAAATCAATATTTCAGTAATTAATTACTGAAGTTCATTGATCAAAATGCTAATCTGGACAAAAATTCTCTTTTCCCTACCTTTTCTCTATTTTCAACAATATGCAGGTTTAACCATTAAAGCAACTATACAAACTTACTGAATTCTGATTAATAATTTCCTCCAATATGCATCTTCAGGGGAAATAGTGTATAATCAGAAGAGACATATAGCACAGGGGAGAAGGCAACAATTTTGAAATTGAAAAGAGAATGAAAAAGGGAAGCATTTTAGCACAATGTAATTTGAACCAAAAAGTCTAAATGTTGCTAAATAGCTACAATTCAACTCTGAAGGAATCTAATAGATCTAATAAAAATGTATCTTTCAGATGTGTGCCTACCTGCTTCTAAACTTTGCTTATTTTTTTCAGAATGTATTATTTATGTAGACAATATGGTTGAAGTCTTTAGTATCTGTTGTCCAAAAAGAAATTAAACTTCTTATGGTACTGCTAAACTTTGTTCTTCCTACGGAACTGGACAGTTACATTTTATATCTCAAATCATAAATCTTTCAAAATAATTATACGAGGTTTAGGAACAGTGTATAAACAGGCACAGTATTTACCTTATGACTCAACCATGAAAGTACAGGTCAAGTAAATTTAATTAGCTAGCACATATAATTGTCACATTATTGAGCAAAAAGATCATATCTTTTAAAGTTAAAAATAACAGGCTCTCGTTGCCTTTGAAGTTTTCCAAAGAATTATAACTATAATTGGATCAAAACTGGTGAAAGACAGGCACGGAGTTTTTAAAAATATAGAATATAAAAATATCAGAAATAAATTGTTTCAAATCCTGCTTGTGCAATAAAAGTTCCTCAATTAAAAAAATAGCAGTTTATTACTGAGTCTATCTATTCCCTCTCATCTTCCCCAGTTCCTGAATTAGCAATTTATTGCAACCATCTATTTTCAGTGATCAACAACATAACATGGATAATGAAATGTGGATAGTATTTTGTAGGTAGGGTTGGCCATCACACGTCTATATGTGAAGAATTGTGAACAGATACATGTTTCTTTTAATAAGAGTATGATTTCTATTATTCAGGACAAAGACATCCTATTTCACAGATGATGAAAATAAACCTATTTCATTAGTATATGGTTATTCAAACCATATACTAATTTTGTGTAAAGTTGATGTTTAACTTGCTAGTTCTAGATTTCATACTTTGAGGAGGAATATTCACAGTTGTTCATCCATGTTTTTCAATTTACTGAACTTTACCATTATGAATTCTCAACAATCCTGTGTTGGAAGATTGTAAATCAAACTAGCAAAAATGCAGGCAACAATCTGGGTGAAAGATAAGATTGGAAAATTAGGAAAGCAAGAGGGTGATGAGAGCAGAAAACTGAAGTCTCACCATCACTATGTCTATGGAGATTCTCAGTCATCTAGGTCATAATTATCCCAAAGATGCTTTTTCACGAGGCAACTGGACTTTCTTGTTTTTCTTTGAAGACGTTTTGCTTCTCATCCAAGAAGCTTCTTCAGCTCTTCAGCAGCAGAGCTGAAGAAGCTTCTTGGTTGAGAAGTGAAACGTCTTCAAAAAAACCAAGAAAGTCCAGTTGCCTGATGAAAAAACATCTTTGGGATCATCATCACTATGTAATTTTATAAACCTCTTAACCATTTCTTTGTTCAGTTTCAAAATCATAATCATTGTGATTTTGTATATCCCAAATGTTGCTATGTTCTTTTCTCTATCTTTTCTTGATTCCTAAAAGCAGGGTATAGATTATGTAAAGATTCTACACACCACAAGAGAAAACACTTTGCAATAGGCTACTCTCTTAACAACAAAGTTTTAAATGAAATATCTTTTAACAACAAAGTACATTGTGAAAGATTTTGAGTGAAGTTGCTTTTTCCTGCTGGTTTGGTGACTTATGAAAAGGAAGAAATATGTATAATGGGCATAAGGTAAAGTATTCCCTAGTAGCAGATTTTCAAAAATACTTCCAATTTTAATTAGTTTAATTCATGTTCTGTAATATATTTTCCTCTTAGTGTAGTTGTTAAAGTATCTTCTATCTCAAATGCCAAAACATTATTTCAGAATAATGACACTGCCCCAAAATTTAGTACACCAAGCAAAATATAGAGTCCGTGCCTTCCAAATTATGCTGCATATTAGTTCTTATACAGAACGAATCTTAAGAATTGACAAAGTTCTTCTATAATTCTATAGATAAGATGGAAAGTTTCCTAGATTCAAATCTACTCTATTATCTATGCTGATTATATACCAATTTAGTTTTTTAACATATCTAGCATTACTGTAAGTCACCTTACCATATCTGAAGATATTATTTCCTGCCATGTAGATCAGAGTGTATTACTAAGGATTGTATTTAGCATTATGGTAAAAAAAAAGAATTCAAGAAACATTTTGACATTTGGTTGTAGTAATGCATCAGAAACCATCTAACTTTTCCTACTATAAAACTAATTTCATTGTTCAGGTTTTATCTATAATTCTATAGATTTAATTATCATAATGGATATTGTTTCTAAGCTATATCTCTGCTTTTTAGGCCACACTTGCAATAACCATTGATTATTGTTTGATTGTTTCACATTTTATCGATTAGATTATCAATTGTGTAGCAAGAAGTCTTTATTTTTCAGAGGGCTTTTTGGTTTCTAGGTATTTTTTAATCTTTAATTTTCTATTTAAGGAAGTTAAGAAGAGGTACCTTAGCTTCTCAGTCCAACTGTACTTTCCCCCCAAGATACAGTAGCAGTTGATTTCCTTCAGGTTGAATAGCTTCCTAGAGTCACTGAACGCTGAGCTGGAGCACATGAATAAATTGAAGAGCTGCCAGGATGTCAAAACCAGGTGATCTGTATGTGGGTGTGGATGGCACTGAGACAAAAAAGGAGAGAATTTTAAACCAGTGTTAAATAATTACACATTCCATCTTGTTATTATTGGAATGAGCTGGTGTAGATTTATATACATTCCACCCTGCAATAAAATAAATATGCCTTTCCTTAGATATCAGTGAAAACAGTGCTCCCCAACTTGGTGCTCTCCAGCCATGCAGCAACGGCAGTATCTGGAATGCCTACTCATCGGAATCAGCATGCAGTCTTAAAAGATCTGGAAAATGCCAGGGGGTGGAATATTACATTAGATAAAGGGTAGAGGACCCCCACAAAGTTAAAGCAGAGTTTCTACTAAAGCAAAGTGGAAGCAACAATCATTATTTATATATTTTGTTGAATTAGATATGACTAATTCATCACATGCTGAATTTTTTTGTTATTCCAGTGCTGAGAGCAATTCATAAGTTTGAGACACTACTAAGTATACCTGGACAAAACTGTAACATCAAAAGAAGGTTAAACTATATTGCCATTTTGCAATTTTAGGCAATTCCTCTTCTTACAATTTATTCAGCAGTTAGTTTAAAAACCTGGTTTGCAATAAATTGATTTAGGGTATTAATAACATGCTTGCCTATAACTTCTCCAAAAATTTACCTGAAATTTTCACACTAAGGTTATCCAAGTTTTGACTCACAGTACAAATTTATTGAGTGAATGTATCATGTTCTGCAGCGACATCCATACCTTGAGTCCAAGGAAATTTAGTAGAGCTATCACTAAAAATAGAAAAAAAAAACATTTCCAAAGGGGTTTATGACAGAAGGCCTGGCACATGTGTGGACTTGGTTTATTCATTCAATATTGCCTGTTTATCTAAAATTTTCTCACACACCCATGCAGAGATATTTCCTAGGTTTGTTGCTCTACAATATCTTCAACAATAGATGGTAAAAATCGAATCTTGGATCCTTTAACATATTAAGTTTTTTCTTTAATTGACATCCACAGCACAGACATGAATTACTCTTAACATTTTAATCAATGGCTCAAGAAACAAACAGAACACATAAAAAAGTAAATTTTTAAAAGTTAAATATAAAAATCTCAGATGGCCAGATTTGATCAGATTTCTCTATGATTTTAATCATTTTATTTGGGGGGATTTATGTGTGATGTGAAATATTCACTGTATTTGTGTGTTGTGGGGATGCAAGTATGAAAGGCCAGGATTTGCTCATGTTTATTTTGTCTTTTTGCATTACTGCAAAATCCCTATTGTTATTATATGAATACAGGCTATGTTAGCATAACATGTTCAGGCATGTAATGGTTTTTTGTCCCACTTTGGTCTTTATGAGTGAATCTGGCCTCTCCATATTCTCAACTTATTTATTCATACTATTTATATAGCTGCCCATTTCACAATATACTGACACTAGTCAGCAAACAATTAAAACCAAAGCAAAAATGCTATAAATCATAAACAGATAAAACAAAACAAACTTAAACATAGTGTGAGGTTGTTGTGAAATTGTTTATTCCACAGAATATTCTTGGAAATGCCTCGGCAAGAGTAGATATTTTCTTGCAGAGAACAATTAATCCAACAATAAGAGAAGATCTAGCAACTGTAGTATATAACAGTATTTTACTCCAATTTCATTTTAAGTCGTATTTTACTCTAGTTCCATTTTAAACTGTATTTTATCAAATTTCATTTTAAATTGCTTTTATCACTTTAGTAATAATTTGTTGCTGGGACTTTGCACTTTGATATGGCCCAAGGGCTAATCAATAAAGATTATTATTATTGTAACAGTCAAAACTTGTATATTGGTCTAGGTCCAAGATTTAATCTTGAGTTTTTTCCTTCTGAGTTTCTAAATTAATGGATAGTTCACTATTTTTTTTCAGGCCATGAAGGCAGTTGAGATTTCTTGATATATTTAGAAGGTTAAGAGTTCAATCCTAGGTAGCAGCAGATATTTCTCTCCTAGGGTACAAAGAAAAAATAACTGCTGTGAACCCCATGTGACATCAGGAAGGGCATCCAGCCAGTAAATGCTCAGTTCCATCCAGTTGCTCCTAGACTACCCCAAATTAAGGTCGTAAAAAGGGAGGTTTTTTAATGATTTACTTATATCTGCTAATTCCTTATTTCTGTGCTTCACTCCTAACAAGTTTATGATGTGTTAATTCAGGCAGAATAAGTCTGAACGATCACCATATCCTTTTTCACAAATTTCCTTCTCCTCTTATTCTTTCTATATTGTTGTTTCCTTTCCTAATATCTGGCAACTTATTTTTTTCCCTTAAACTAAAACAATAATAGAAATTTGTGGACACTTTGGTTTCCATCAAGTCTGAGCATATATTTTTCTTGTCCATGTGTGATTTCATTTTGCCTATATAAATAGTATTATATGAACTCTGGCAATCTGAGCTTTCTAGAAAGGATATGAGATGTTTAAATTAAAATAAATTTATTAGACAAAAATGCTTGGCTCTGTACTCATGGAACTGGATCCGACCTGGGATTGTAATCAGTACTGTTCATCTAGTTTCAGTTAATTAGGTAAGACCTTTTTGTTTTCTCTGTTTTGCTAACATGCTGAACTAATTATGAACTGTCATGCTACCACATTTCCTGATTAAAATTAAAATGAGAATACTCAACAGCTATTCCACTTTCCTAAGCAAGTTACATTTTTCCTTTTCTTTCTAAGAATATTTACATGAAATTGTTACAACAACATTATATAACTCTTCTAGTATTGGTATTTCCAAGCCACTCCCACTGAACTAAATAAAGCCTTTTAAATCTAAAAGCAACATGTGTCACTCAATATTAGCTATAATAGTGTGATCTGGTGACCTCTGAACATGTGATAGATCTCAATCCAGGCTGTGCACTGTAGATTTTAACTGAAAGAAGCATGTCTCCTATTTTCCAGTAACTTAATACCAGAAACAATTTTAAAAAACAAATGTTGTGGATATACATTTGAATAACCTATGGAAACTGCTCCACTCTTTCTGATGTTTTCTGATTATCATAAATGGCTTATCTTCAAACCATTCCCTTGTAAAGTAGTTATTTCCCAGTCTATATGAACAGCAACAGTAACAACAGCAAAAAAGCAAGTTTCTGGACAGGTGAAGTGGCATATGCATAAGTTTCCTTTTTTATACTTTATTTAACAATTTGTGTCTCTCATTTGGCAGAAGATTATTTGGCAGAAAAATTGCCTCTCTTATTGGCAGACTTATTATTTTTACTCTTCTGAGCACCTTTAAATTGTGCTGCCTGAGAGACAAAATATTGAGTGGACTTGAACAAAGCAATGACATTTTTAAAAGACACAATTTAAATGACACAATTCCATCCATAGCCCTGACTGGATCCATTAGAATAGTAAGATTAATACAATAATAGTAGACACCATTGTGGGAGACACTGACCTAATAATTAGGAATTTGTTTTGTCTAATAAGAATTGCTGAAATGAAATCTAAATTTTCAAAGTCAGACAATTTCCTTTTGATACTGTTTTAGGCTGTAATTCTATACACTTTTAGTTGGAAGCTGGATTTATCTTGAATAGTATAAAGGAAAGAATTAATGCAATTATCTTGGATGCAAAATTCATACTTACTATTTTAAATCTGGCTTCCAAACACAAAGGGCTGAGCTTGGGTTCTGAAGGAATTTGCTAATTGTCCTGTGATCACTGAATCATGCTTAATTTCCACTGCAATGAATAAATAAAAAAATAAAAAATAATTTGCTACTGATAAAAAAATATTTTCTTATTTCATCTCATATAATTCCTTAGACTTTTGATATTCCAGATATTTGTCTTGTCATCACTATAATGGAAGCATTAGAAGGATAAATGGCATGAAAAAGAAAATTCAAAGTTTTTCCTTTTCTGCTAAGAAGCTTTTAAAATCTTTACAGGCTTAGGTTTTCTTTCTTTACTTTAAAATGGAACTTGGTTGGAGGAAGTAAGTTTGCTTAAATTAAATTTATAATGATAGGGTGTCACAGAAGCATATCTCTTAAGTTACATATAATGTTACTGAAATTTATGACTTTGACATTCTTCCTTATAGTTGATGGGAAATAAATGGCTTTTATTTTCCATTATTTCTCCAATGGTTTGCAATGCCTCTCATTATCAATTTTCTTTATTATATTCCAAGGGAAGACACAATGAGGAAACTTCTTTTATGGGAGGGTTGCAAAATTCAGGCAACCAGTTATACCAGTATTAGTTAAGTCTCTTTTAAGATTTAAATTACATTTTGAAGAATTTCCTGCATCAAACTAGTCAGAAAACATAGTGCCCATTTTTTAAAATATAATTTTAGTCACAGGGAGCTCTGAAAGTCAAAAAATGGCAATCGGGATACATGCCCAAAAGATGTATGGACTTTGCCTACTGCCTTGAAGATTTCTAAACTGAGCTCTGTTAAATCAAGGAATTCCTTTATCTTGATTTCAGTGCATTAATTTTCAGAACCATACTGCTCATTGCATCATACAATCTATCTAGCATTCACTGTGCAAGAGGAGTATAAAAATAACATTCATGAAAGAATGCAAAAATGTTAACTAAATGTCAGCTTAGTCCTGGGCAGGAACAAGAGATGAAGCAGAAAGATAACTCTGCCTTGACTCTGTTTACTATAAGAAGGGACAAAAGGGAACTTTGGCAAGCTTTCATGATTCTTTTGTGATATCCTACAACAATAAAACAGAATTCAATCAGTCCTTATGGAGTTTTTCCTGAACTGGCCTACTTTGAAGGGCTGTCAGATGCTGATAATTTGGGGTTTTAGCCAAATGACATAGCATAAACAGCACACAAAAGTATTTCTAGTTTCCATCCCTAACCAGTGCACTTTTACCATTATTATAGCATTCACTGTACATTTATTCATAAATTTAATAAACAATGAAGGGAGCATTGCACATCTTTGCCTTGCTTTCTGATCAGTATTAAACTGACTAAACTAAGCATTTCACACATTTTGGTTTCCATGATGTATCATTCTATACCTGTGTGCAAGAATTCCAGAATCTAATCTGTTCACTTTATGGTATACATCTTCTAAATTGACAAATATACAATGAATTTTCTCATATGCATGTATTTTTCAATGAAGACTTACACATAATGTGAAATTTATTAAAATGTATTATATCTTCACTATCTGTTTTAACACTAATAAAGAAATGTTTACAAAGATTTCCCATTAGTTGAAATGACAGCTTAAAATCTTGGGTAGAAAAACTTTTGTGTGAAATCTGCTTTATTTTGCTTGCTCCAACATTAGTAAAGACTCCTTTGAATCAATCTTGTCTCCACAGTGTTGCATTGTTCATTTAGAAGTTGTTTCCTTAGGACGTTTTGGGACATCCCAGTCTAGTTTACTTGTCCTGAGATTTTCTGATGTTCTCTTTTCCAAAGTCCAGTTGTGAGAGGTTTTTTTATATCAGATATGGTGAGACACATGCTATCATTTGCTTTGAATCTAATGTGCAGAAAAATCTGGCTTTTTTTGCACTTCCATCATTTGCTCACCAATACATATCAAATAAGTCAAATGACTTATTGTTTTGATTTTTGTTTCCCTTTAGTTGTAATATTCAGTATATCTTACAATGATTTTTTTTCCATTTTAAATATTTTTGTTGTCAGGTTATCTATCACATCCTTCATAAATTATCAAGCAAATTGTTTAGCTAATGCTGCCTCCTGCAGGTCAAAGA